CCAAAGCTGCCGACAATGGAAATGAAACTGCTCAATTTAGTTTAGGTGATATGTACCTTTATGGGAAACTCAATTGTAAATTTGATGAAAAGTTAGGAATTAAATATTTAAAATTAGCTGCTCTTAATAATAATGATGAAGCTATTAAAATTCTTGAAAATTTAGGTGTCGATGTATACGATGATAGCAGCTAATTTATTTTAGAATAAGAAAAATAATTATAGACAATTGTTACAGAAATATTTATTTTTGCGATCTTTAAAGTATGTATAAATAAAGATCTTTATTTAGGACATTATAAAATGGGTTCCTATATTTAAAAATTCAATCTAGCCATTCCTAAATAGTTATAGGCAGATTTAAAACTTGCTTACTTTCGTTTAATACAATTTTAGTATTGAACTATGTGTAACTTTTGCAATGTAATCTTTATGTAAATTTCTACTTTTAGGGAGCGATTCTCAAATAACGCTCATAAACTTATATATATATATATATATACCAGTAAATTAAATTAATAAATTAGAATTTTTAGGCTTAGATCGTTCTCAAACCTCATTTCAATGCGATTAGCTAGTGATCGCAATAGTGCTCAACTATAGCTATATTTATATAAAATTTTTATTGACAACTCAATATGCAAATAATGACATAATTGAAGTTTTAATAATCTTCAATGTTAATTTAATATAATTAATCTAAATAAAGTTCGCAATTAATGCTTGAACGGTTCTTATTTTCTTCAATTTACCAAATGTCTATTCACCTAATAAAGAAATCATTGATGGAATAATTGAATTCGTTTTCATATGAATAAAGATTAAGAAATGGTAAGCATCTGCAGTTTTTTCGGTTCCGCTTCCATGAAACTTTAGTATTTGAGCGATCTCATTGAGTACTCTATTAATTGCAATTTTGCCAAGTCAGAGATGGAAAAAAAAAATAAAAAGGATGGTTTGTTGTAAAATGGATGTAAATTGAAATGCAAGCTCACCTAATATTGCGAATATGATTAAATATCCATTATGATGATAAACAAATTAACGATTAAATATTTTCCACTAAGTAAAATTTATTCCTCGACACTTTTTGACCCATCGATTAAGACGCTTGAGGACGCCCTTAATCGGATATATATTTAAATGATAATCATTTAATTTCGAATTTTACATGTAGGCTGCGCAATCGCGCAGCGAAACTGCGCGCTCAACCAGCATTATGCGTGCAGCCCGAATTATAAAAACATATGAAAGGTGGTCTATGAAAATATCATCCGACATTTTCGATTGATCAATAACGTCATATTATAATATTGATGTTTATATAATTGGGGTTAAAAATTGATCATTTATAATCAGTGATTGTGGTATTAGATACCAATTGAATTTCTATCATAGTGCAGAACTATATGATTGGCCTCCTATTTATGATTTTTAAAATTTTGTCGATCAATTTATTAAAAAAATTTATCATAGTAACTAGGTTATTTATAAGTTGTAAATATTATGACTAAGAGTTGCAAGAGATATGATAATATATACTATGGATTCAATTGCTAATTATGGTAGATGCTAAGTTGCGTATAAGATTGCCGGTTTTGGTAAACGTAGGTATGTTGGCCTGCATTAACCTAATTTAGGCCAATATATAGTCTTCAAAATTCTAATTTAGCTAAAAATTGACTTTTTCAATTTTTTGAATCAAAAAAAAAAAGAAATATATCCTGCCTCATGGTAAAATTGGATCTTTTGATTAATGAGCGTCTGTGGTTTAGTTAGTAGAATTTTTATAATTTTATTCTAGTTCAACGTAACTAGTGATACAGACTGGCCCCAGTTCACGGCCTATAAAAAAAATCTTTTGGAATTGTTCAGAAAAATTCTGAAATTATTCGATAATTTGTTCGGAAAATCGACTCCGTTTCGAACGTTTAAAGCATGCTTATTGGATGAATGCGTTTTTTGTACGTTTTTTATACGATAATTTTCAATCAATTTTTTACATACCATACAAACGTCGTTATGAAAAACAGTATAAGCATAAACCCTGTTCGGAAAATCGACACCGTTCCGACCATTTTTTTGGACAAGCTTTTTTTATAGGGCTGCTGGGTGGCAGGCCGGTTCTTAGCCTGCATTTTCGTGGGCTGGGTCGGTCAATAAACGATAGACTAGAATCAATTCTAAGGTTAAGAAATTGAATGTAAATATTCATTAATTGGCTAATTTAAATAATAAATTGGCAATAACGGAAATAAAATAAAGAAATGTTCAAATGCTTAATCAATATCAAAACTACATCTAGAATTTCTCAAAATAAAAAGAATAAAAATAAATAATTTAATATCACTAGAATTTGGCAAGGAATCATCTGATATCTTTTTACACGTTAGATATAGATGCAGCCTCCCCAGATCGAGCGATTTTTGGTAAAACCAAATTAATTATAAGGTTTTATCTGTTCATATGAATACAGTAACCTTTTATAATAATTGATAAATCATCAATTCGTTATAAAAAAGTTGAACTTCACAAAAGATTAACAAGATCCAGGAGTCCTGACATATGCATAACGAACCATTTCAAAAATAATTTTGTTCTGTATAATTAATTCTAATGTCCATCTTTTAATCACAACACAGAATCAAGATTTTGTGTATGAAAAAAAAACTTGGATCTAATTTTTTTCTAATAAACGTTATGGAATTGACTAAAACAATTTGGGAAGTTGACAAACAATTGTGTAATTGCGAAAATTTTCAACACATAATAGAGATAATTTCTAATTGTACAGTAAGCTAAATGTTAAAATTGAGGATAATTGGTACGAAAAATATTTAAATATGAAGCAGTATTATGCGGAGAGAATTATTTACATAGCTATTAACCATACACATTGTTTCATTATGCTCTCGATACGTAAATATTTATGCCATAATTGAAATTATTGCATATATTGCATATACTGTATACATACGTCATTTGTTGAATGTGTTAATGTTTTACTAAACAGGCAGGCGAGATTGGATTTATTATATATAAGGCGCCAAAATATCCTTGGATGCCATTAAATTTTATTAATACGAAAAATAATTTACATTAAAAATGAATCACAAATTTATTAATTTATTTTCGACAATTTTTTATTCATATTTATTATCATTTGCTATTATTGCCAATGCTCATCATTATGAAACTTCAGAAAATAAAATTTCGGAATGTTGTAAAGCTCGTGGTAGTCCTGGGTGGACAAATATAATTCATAAAGCAGTTTACTATGATTCAGCCCCACAACTTGATATTACTACTCCAGAACATTGTTGTCAAGCATGCGTTGAAAATCCAGATTGTTTACAATGGACTTTTAAAACAAGTGTAAACTTATGTAACTTAGACGTCGAAAGAAATTTGCCACTCAAACTTTGTGATCTACCTACAGAACAACCTACAACAAGCCAAGAAGCTGGAGTTATCGGTTGCAGTGATGGATGTAGAAGTAAACTATCCAAATCTCATAAATCTCATGAATCTCATAAATCTCATAATTAGGACCAAATACGTTGTGATAATAATTTAAGAAAATTTTTTCTACAATAATAATTAACTTTTACCTCTAACTACATAATTTTATATTATTAATAAATGGCGGTGTTTTATAAGGCTGAAATAAATTTTTAGTAATAAATGCGTAGCTAAATTTTTTTATAATACTTTAAATACAGTAGCAAATTTTTATATACAAAATCATATTCATCAATTGGTTAACAATATTAGTTTGTGTCGATTTTGTCTTTTTGTTGAGATAACTTAAAATGTTTTTACGCGTCACAGAAGCTAATCTTTTCTTCCAGCATTATTATTTATTTGCTTACTTTTTTTTTTGTTCAGGCACATAAAATTTTTATGGTTTTGTATTTTAAAATATTTCAGTATAATAAATTCTTAATTCGTTTACTTTATTTATCGGTATAGTTTTTTTGAAAGATTGGAATTTCTAATTAATTAAATTTCTACAAAGGGTAGACAAAATTGAAATTTATTATCATTACAAGCAATTGTCTGAATTTAAAAGAGTATCCATTCGGTTTCAGCCTATTAATATTCGACAAACTCTGAACCGATAACAATTTTAAGTAAATTTTCAAAAATCAAATTTCGCCATTAAAATTCATAATGGTAAAATGTAATACAGAATATCTATTCTAATCAAACGACGAATCTTACTGCAAAGCTTTGTAATGCAATATTTGAGATACAAATACGTAGGAATTAATACATGCGCAGAGTTTAAATATGATAGTGGTTCTATATTAATCATAGCTGCCGCAACAAAATTGTCACGGCAGATCCTCGATTTTAATTGGCTAACGGCCGAGGATCAAGATTTTGGCCCGCATTACATAATTGTTTACAATTTCCAGCCGGGATCAGCTTTTTAAAAAAATAGAAATTTTTTAAAAATAAGCCCGCATTGTGGTAAAATTGGACCAAAGAACGATTTTCACTTAATGGCGGCTGCGATTTCATTAGTAAAATTATGAGTAATTCCGGCCAAATTTTTTGATCGTCGTTCCTAGCCAATCAAAATCGAGAATCTGCCGTGAAAATTTTGTTGCGCAGCTATGGTCAATGGTTAATGTGGTCAATATTTACAATATTGGTTTGGTTTATAATTGTTTTAAGTATAAAAATAAGAAGACGTTTGTGTCAGTAAACAGTCATATCTAGTCTCGTGAATGCAAGGTTTCCTTTTGAATACAATACTTAAAAAAGGCCTATCCGCTATCGCGATTTACTATTAAAAATACTGTATTGATGTCGATCTCGAATCTCTTATTAAAAAATTTCATCGGGAGACTGATGAACGTTATAATTGTTATACGTACTTTTGCATGACTGGCTAGTTACTTTTAACCACGTTGGTAGTAACCCAATACTACAGTACTACCAAGTTTAATCCTGAATTAATGACAATTTTTACCGTTCACTAAATTTTTTTTTAGTAGGGTCGAGCATCTAAACCAATTTAGAATCAAAACTGGTCGATAGTATAAAATAAATGGTGTACATGTTAGCATTTGAACTAGTAATCTCCCAGATATAAAATGAAATGTTCCAGAGTATTCTTTTTAATTAATTTGTATACAAAATGTTAAAGAATACAAATCTTAATAAAATAGTGTTGATCTGCGTTATGCGATGATTTATTCTAAACACCGATACGTAACTAGTGCAATTTCTAAATATAGTGAGTAATTAAAATATATATTTCTTAGTACGTACGTACGTACGTATTTATGTAGTCCAAGCAAAATCGATCATCTCTTAATAATGCTTTGAAACAATTATATTTTGAAATCTGGTAAATCATTTAACAATAATCTATATTTAGAATTCTTGCTTTTCAATTTCCGATGCTAATTTATTTAACTATTAACTAACTAAATAAGATTAAATATTACATCATAAGTACTTGCGATCTTAAATTAATGTTGAAGAATAAAACTTAAAATAGAAAGTTACGTAGGTAATTATTTTAATGACAATGTAGATAAATAAGACAAATATGGTTATTACTACAGTATTGCAGTATTGCGAGATGCTAGAACAGCTGATCTTGAGTATAGATGGAGGACCCAGGTATTATCACGTGAATATGTGAGAATAACTTTAGTACGTACTAAAGATGATAATCTCGGTTCGGCCATATAGATTATCCTAGAAAATCTGAAGCGGCATTTATTCATTCATCATTCTTTATTGCGAAGCCTTCATACTCAAATATAGAATTAATTCATGAGATCACATATCGTTATCGATTTGCCGTTACCTGCCGCTGAGCCACCAAAAAAAGCTATTCGTGCGTTGTACATAATTTCTATTACACAAATAACGTAAGAACGTGAACCTGTCTGGGAGTTAAGCGAAGCTTTATTATTAAAGGTGGGTGAAAACCGGCAGTGAAGTGTAGTGTCAGTTTTAAAACAATAGTAAGTATTATGTCTATACATAAAAAGATCTAATTTTTGCGCTTTTAATTAAGGTAGTCTTTCTATACCCATTGTTATAACCTTAATAAAGAAACGTTTATCTGCGGTTTATTATGAATAAAAAAAAAATTATATTTTTCCTACATTCGATCTTCGCTATTATTATATTTGTTTTGGTCATTACCACCCATTACCTCACTGATACCATAATTAGATTTATCACTTCGTTGGCATATTTTTATTTTCCAATAATCAGTTAGACGATAAGTTCATTTCGCTGACAACTAGTTCATTGACTAGATTTAACTGACTGCTTATGAGCAAATATGTAAGAGAAATGATCTTCAGTTAAGTGTAGTGGAATATTCCAGTTTATGGCTTAGGTATGCCCGAGATTGATTGGATACGTCCTACATATCCTTTTACTGACGGAGATCGTGATAAATTGTCACCATTGTTTGTGAAGCATCGTAGATTTGTTATATATCTACAAACTTACTCCGATTGTTGATTTATCTAAGGAGATTTCATTTAATACTCATTCATCTACAGTAAAGTAAGAAGGTCATTGCCAATTAGAACTGTGTTCATGATCTATGTTCATCGCAGATTCCAAAGAAGAACAAATTTTACATCAATTAAAGTATGATCATTTGTATTTCCCTTAAAAATTATTTAATCTTTTTGTATAAGCCATCTAGGCTGTTCTAAAAGCTGGTTAGAAACATTAGGCAATAAACATGTGAGTTAGATTAATTCGTTTCAATGATTAATATTGATTGATGGTTAATTGACATTTGCATACGTAAGCTAAATTGAAGTTATTTTGCCTTTTCCCGATAATACGTAGAATAATGGTTCTATTCATCTGTTAAAAGTAACACATTCTGTGTTTACAAACGTTACCTTTATTATGATATATTGTCAAATTTATAAGATTGATGCATCTGTGGAGTAATTACTCTTCGTTATTGGAATATATCTTTTATACGTAAGTTGCATCACGTAATAAAATCCATAAAATTTATTCGTCTGATGCATATGTGATCATACGCAGGAAATATCCCATACCAATCATTAGTTAAATGAAGCAAATTCTGGGATAACTTTCATAATACAGATAACTCGGGGACGATGATTTTCTGCCGTGATTAATTTCTGCGATAATTCTTCTGCACAAAATAAAATGTTTATTATTGCAGAAATTATCACCGCAGAAAAATCATCGATGAAAACTTTTATTGACTAATAGAAATATGTCTATAAAGTTTACAAGCTTTAGACGATAAAAAAAAAAGGCAACAAATAATCATTCATTATAGAATATTCATTTAAATTTATAATTTAAGCAATTCAAGCTATAATTCTAAAAGTTTTATTTTTGGGGTAGAAAAAAGTATGATTTGCTGTTACAAAAATATTTCTATCAAGTATCGTCGCACATAATATTATTATTTATTACAAACATTATCATTCCCAACATTACTATTCCACAATATAAAATAAGTAAATATAAACGTCCTTTTGTGTTGTAACATATAATTAAAAGGATAAAATTTTTTGTTATAAAAAAATAGGTAAATCCAAACTAATTAATATAATAAAGCTCCAATGAATAAAGCAACAAAGGATCCAGTGATCAATTCAAAATAGTTTGCACGAACGCTTGAAGCAGCACCCGCGCTGGGAGCGCTGGTGGAGCCAGATGGTCTTTAAAAAAAAAAAAAAAAAAGTAATTATTACATAATTAATAAATGAATAAATTGATTAAAAAATTAATCAAGATTTTTAAAAATACTTACGCAGAACCAGCATTAGAAGGCGATGGAGATTTGGGCGAAGAAGCGGGTGCATTGGGTGAAGGAGCTGGTGCAGGACCACCAGATGGACCAGCGCCTGCTGGAGCTGCGGCAGGGCCTGTTGGAGTAGCACCAGCAGGTCCGACAGGTACAGATCCAGTTGGAGCTCCAGCAGGTCCTGCAGGTCCTGCGGGTGCACTAGGTCCACCAGGTGCACCAGGTCCACCAGGTCCACCAGGTGCAGTTGGAGTTGCACCAGGTCCTGCTGGAGTTGGTCCTCCAGGTCCATTTGGTCCAGGAGTTGGTCCTCCAGGTCCACCAGGTCCATTGGGTCCAGTTGGTTGTCCAGGTCCACCGGAACTTTTAAAATTAACAAGAAATACAAATCATAAATTAAAAACAATGAAAAAATAGTATCTAATTTCAATGCCAACTACTTTGAAAACCAACTTACCCTTGAGCAAGAACACTAGAGACGATAAAGATGCATAGGACAAGGAAGATAATTGTATTCTTAGAAATATTCATTTTTGTTCTTAATAAATATATGAATGCTTTTTTTTTTTTTTTAGATCAAGTCGATATTATATATAAAAGTTATTTTTATTATTATTATATTATCATTAACTAATTTTTAATGTTTAATCTCGGTGAAATTATTCTCTTGATGAAAAGGAACAAGAGCCCATATTTATAAGAAATCGAAACATAGAATAAGGCGTTTTAGTTGAAGATGCATTAATTAACTTGTTTTGGGCATATATGCATTTCCCGCGTCGGCTGCACAACGCCACTCCCTTTATAAAAAAGCCAAATATGTATAAAAAAAAGTATTATGAAGTGATATATCTAATTCATCACCAATGCGATGCGTCGCTCACCCCTGATCGACCAATCAAGGTCTAGTGCTATGTGTAACGTGAAAATCGATCGATCGCAATGAAAAAAAATCTTGGTTCTTAGAAAATTTTGGGATAGTTAATATTTCTATTAATACTCCATCCTTTTACAAAAAAAATTATTGTTACATTAATTTCTGCGAATAAATTTAATGGTTTCCGGTTAAGTTCTAAAAATAAATTTCAAATTAGTCAAGGGTTTTAAAATACAATATGTTTTAGAAAAGATTTGAAACATTGACGTCAAAATATTTTGATATACGTAGATAATAATTGTTGCCACTTTATGATTAAATGATCTAACTTTAAGAAGCTGAGGCTTAGATTTTCTTTTTATAATTTACGGATATTTAGTTTATTTGTTCATACCGATACCGATACGAACGATTTACATGCACAATGCACGGGATTGATTGTGGCATGGTTTACTAAACTACCTTTTGAGTTTACATTAAAAATAATATGCATTATAAAATTATGGTACTCTCCGATTAGTGAAATAATCTCTACTGTATATCTCTAATTTAAATTGGCAATACAGTTGACTTTATTTAAATTTAATATAAGCAATTGATTCTTCAAGCGCCAAAAAATTCATTTTACATATGAAATTCCCACGAAATTTTAGTTTTTATTTTACATATAAAGTTATCTTGTTAATGATAAATATCATCAAAAAGTACAGTTTTTTAAATTTAAAATTAAAATCTTACCTATTTTGGTAAAGATTAAGCTAAAAATAGATCTCCGATGTGGCTATGAAATGAGTTACGTAAGGCTGGCTGAGACTTGAGCTATGGCACGAAGCCTCCGAGAAATGAGAGTTTCTTTATTCATTGAAATATATAGAAAGTGTGAGAAAATCTCGATGTCATAGATATATGATTATTCTCGTTATAATCAATACTTGCATCTCACTTTAATAGTATTAATTCAAGCAACCCGAAGCTTATGATCAGAAATGGGATGCATATATATCGTGTGCCACATTCCATCATTCTCAATTATTATTGAGAACCTATTGCATGGGTTCAAAATGATATTATATAGGCGCACGCAATGATAACTACTTAATATAGTCGTAGTAAATGTAAGAAAGAGACGAGGCATGTGATGAATCGACAATATGTGACGAATATGGTCACGCAAATCAGTCAAATTTAAGATGCACATCAGTTACTTCACTCCGTTCTTGGCATGTAAATCTTAAATTTATTATTTGAAGAAATCATTTTTAAGTATTACAGCTTTATTATGTAATACCTTTAACAATCTCTTTTTTTTTTGTATTTGAACCAACCTTTTACATGTAAAACTTAGAAAATTTACTATTGTGGCTAAACGTAGGGGCTAGTACACTCTATCTCGTGAAATGAAAATCCAAATATCGTGTTCTCATATAGAGATGTTTGTTTATTTGTGATTGATTATATCATGTTCTTTGTAGATACACTATGAAAATACACAAAAAAATGTTTATTTGCATATCCAAAATTATTACGAAAAACCTCTATTGACAAAAAAAAAATGCATTCTTGTAATTAGGTTAGGATACGTATACAAACCAATTAATTATCATTTTTTAAATTACTTACATATGTACATGCATACACAAATGCATTTAATAAATTTTATGTACAAATATTCATAAAATTTTTTTTATCTTATTAACTTTATGGGCAATCTGGGATTTGGCCGTTGAAAAGGACAAATCTTTGTAAGCGTTGTTTTCTCTTTATACTGCAATGTTTTCATACTCTATGCACTTAGAAGTATTTAATTGCGTACGTATGTACGTACGTACGTACGTGGATAATAACAAACAAATCAAACGTACTTCTTTTTACGATCCAAATCCAGTAATTTGTATATTAAATATTCATTATATATTTGATATAAAAAGCAGTATATTTAGATAATAAATTCCATTCTGAGAAGTTAATGAAGATTAATAGTCGAAAACTAATTAACATAGAAAATTTCATTTTGTTGTTGGTCCTGAAAAATATTTTAAGTTCATAAAAGTACCCACTCCATATCCTATTCCATAATTGCTAGTGTTAAATGTTGTGCACAAATATTTAAGTTTTGTGTCACTTATTATAAATTAGAAATCAGAAATTGGTCAAGGTTTTAAGTAACAATAAAACATTATTCAAGCCTTTGAAACCTTCATTCTGTACTAAATACAGTATATACGTTGACCGCAGATCATCATGGGAACCGTCAACTAACGAAATTTATCGGTTCTCTTCACCAGACACTACATAATTATACATAGAATGAAAAGTGATTTGTTAATAATTTGAAGATTATTACGGATTGGCTTGATGTACATTATTTGTGATCCATTGATGTCGATCAATATTTGTTGCAACCTTTCTAAATATATCTCATTAGAACAATATGTACGGTTAAAAAGACAATGAATATATACTGTTGACCTTGTAAAGATGTAAATTTATACACTTTGCCCTCGTTATAACATATTGATCTGGTTGAAAAATGCAAACCATTATAATGAATGGATCACCCAGGGCGGCACGGCACCAAAAGTGCAGTGATGTAGATCATGATGCAGCCATGACAAATTTACGCAAAATTCTTTAATCAACCACAGATGTCCATTAAGTAAAGAATCTCCGAATGAAAAGCAGGACAGATTTACTTTTTTTGGATTCGAAAAATTTAAAAATTAATTTTCGGCCAAAAATATAATTTTGATCTTCGGCTTAAATTAGGTTAATCTAGCCGACCAATTAATTACGTCACGACATTTTTTGGGGCAGTCCTAAGTTTTCAAATTCATGTGAAAATTTTTTTTGAAATTGAAAAATGCCAATAATAATAATAATAATAATAATAATAATAATAATAATAATAATAATAATAATAATTAGTGATTAATTAATGGACTCTTTCTTCTGTCGCAGTCATATGAGATGATAAAGTAAAGTGTTGCTTCTGCTGTTCTGATACTTAAGTCATAAATAGAAATAGTATGACGCTTTGATCTATTAAATTGTAATGTATAAGGGGTGACTTTCGCTCCACCACGTATAATCAATCAAACCTCTGTTAATTGATTGCTACTAGTGATAACCGCACAGAATGTTTGCCCCTATATAAACACTCTACTCCCGTTATGGTGGACCCGTTAATGTGAATCTTCTTTATTATTGTTATTGTGTGAGTGACACCAAGGGAAAATGGAACATTTGTTTGTTTATCATTGATTATTTATTTAAATAATAAATGATAAACCAATGCCACATTTTTCCTTGGGCGTCACTTATATAGTTTTATTATGAGTATTCATTATAGGATCATCCAGATTGGCTCGAAAGATTTACTGATAAATTAGATGTCTTACCCGGGTCGGAAAATACCGACCCGACCGGGTTATTCGGAAATTCATTTAAAATTTGATGTAACGACTCTTAATTAGTGCCATTAGTATAGAGAGCAGCCTATACTCCAAATATCTAAACTGGACTCGGGGTAAGAACTTTACTATTTAGTATAAAATTATAATGTCTTCTACACATTCAGTTATGTTAAGTAAATTGCGTAATACAGTAATAGGGAGCTTTAGAATTAACTTATTTTGAATATAAGTGGGAGGTTAAAAGACTTACTTAATTTTAAAATTCCAACTAAGGAAATTAAATAGGTGCATACATTAATAAAATTAGCTTTTTTTGATAAGTATCTACCAGTAAATGATTATGTAAATAAATTTATTCGTTAAAAAAAAAAAAAAAAGATTTATAGATCACATGTTCGACGCGGATACGCATATATTTTATCTGAGCCATATCATTGATTCTTATACGTACCAGTCAAAAAATGGTGATTGGATATTCATTTGATCAACTTTTTTATATTCAAATAACCGTTTTATTGTTGCTTCATTTTTGACTTGTCAAAATTGCTTGTTGTTATATATTAGATTGCGGCTATGAAGTCAAGAACCTAACCACTGTTGAAATCATGAACCCAATATTTTTTTTTTTTTTACGGGTCATGGTTCTTCGCATAGAAACATTACCACAGAAGAAGAAAGAATGTATTTAATCAGCCCAGAGGTATTTAAGAGTTTTTAATTACATAAGTTACTTTTCTTTTAACTGTCTCTTGCCTTATAGTAAAAGTCGGCTCCTTCGTTAAACAGTACAATAGCAAAAAGTACAATCAATGAAACTGGTTAGCGGTGTTGAGTAGTTAGTGAGAGGTTTAGCAGATTCGGTGATAATGTAAGGAACTTATTTTTGTTTGTCGCAACGGCAGTGTAAAGACCTTGTTTTTTTTTGCATTTTTTTCGACTGTAGTTTCTATGGCAGTGCAAAGATTTTATAAGATATTCATGATAATAACCACAGATCAAACCGTCAATAATAGTCACCAAAGATTCATTGAATTAATCGGTGAAGAACAAATATCCAAATTCAGTTTGGTGAATAATTACATATTTGAACATTCGAATGTTCATTGAATATCTGAATAATTATTCAATGAATCAGACCTTTACCACCTAATATACTTCTCTAAATGCACGGATTATGCAGACTCTCTCTAAATGCACAGTATAGCCCGGTCCCAGCTTATAAGAGCTCTATATATTTTGCT